AAAAACCGTGTACCATATTCTTGAATGTGAGTTAATTGTAGAATTAGATTATTATCCTGCTTCCAGCTATTCCATTTGATTCATTTTTTTCGGTTCTTTTATTCAACAGAAAACTTTTACCATGGCCTTGCATCCCCGAGAAATACGTTCTGTGACTCCTAAGTGAACTTCAACAGCTTAAGTTTTCACAACTGTCTCTCCGTGAGAAAGTTGCAGTTAAGGAAAGAGGTCGTTTAACACCTGATATTCTAATATCTCAGCCAGGCATAAGCAAGAACAAGAAATATATTCGTAGCTTTAATTCTGAATGGTACAAACGGAAAGTTGGCTTTGCGGCTGTGAAGTAAAAAATGCACTGTTTTGCTTCCCGTGTTTGCTGTTTGGGGGTGATGTAACGTGGACAAAAGATGGTTTTAGAAATATAAACAAAATGAAAGAAAAAACTGAAAAGCATGAGAAGTCAAAGAAGCACGTTGATAATGTAGTTTCACTGTCACTTTTAGGAACCGTAAGTATTAAGGAGAAACTTAGTGAGGCATACAGACTTTCAATCAATGAGCATAATATAAAGGTTAAAAAGAACCGTGAAATTTTGTCCAAAATAATAGACTGCATTTTCTTTTGTGGAAACTTTGAAACTCCCTTACGTGGACATGATGAAAAAGACGATTCAATAAATCCAGGGATATTTAGGGGATTAGTAAATTTTGCATCTAAATTAGATTCAGATTTGAAGCATCACTTAGAAACCAGTGCAGTCTTCACAGGTGTTTCTAAGACCATTCAGAATGAGATACTTGACTGCCTGCTACAAATATACCATGAGGAGATAAGGACGGAAATTAAGAAAGCTTCCTTTGTAGCTGTCATGGCTGATGACACAACAGATGTTTCGGAACACACTCAAATGGTCCTTGTTCTACGGTACGTATTGAATGGAGAAATATTTGAGCGTTTTGGGGGATTCTTTATTCCAGAAAATCAAACTGCAGATGGCATATCAAAACGTATTTTAGAACAGGTGGACATAAACGTTCAAGGAAATGGACAAAATCTGATAGCTTAGACATTTGATGGTGCAAATGTCATGAATGGCAAAAAAGCAGGAGTTCAAGCAAAAATAAAAGCAGTTTATAGTAATGCACATTTCATTCACTGTTATGCACATCAACTTATTTTAATAATGAGAAATGCAGCAAGCATTACACGAAACGCAAGAATATTTTCTCTAAAATTCTGGCTATTCCAACATTCTTCTCAAGATCACCGCAATGTGTGTCCATTCTCAAGAAGCATATAGAAATTAGCATTCCACGTCCATCTTCTACAAGGTGGAACTTCAACATACGGACCATAAACAGAGTTCATGAAAATTTGAAACCTTTAATAAACTGCCTTACTGAAATTCAGTCAACATCAAATGCAGCTCATACCATTGCAGAAGCAACAGGAATTTTAAAATACCTGAATGATGATAATTTCAAGTTTTGGTTAGAGCTTTTTCATCAGATTATGCCTCATGTTGAAATAATTTACAACCAATTAAATTAGTGTGTTTAAAGTTAATGAATATATAACAAATTTCAAAACTGCTATTTTAGAATTGAGAAACTCAAAGTACTGTGAGAATCCTTCAAAGACACTCGTGGCAGAAGCTAAGGAAGTGTGTGACTGTATATGTGTTGATATAATGGACAGATATTCTTCTACTAAACACTTAGTAGCTGCTAAATTGTTCAACAAGAAATGCTTCACTAGTTTTAAGAACGAATATCCCACAGAAGAGATAGTACTGACCACTGAAGCATATCCCACGATTGACAAAGATATGCTAGACACTCAACTAAATATATTCTATTGTAGGTCTGATATTCATGAATATTGCACATTAATTGAGCTGCTGAAATTTATCTTGGAAAATAATCTAGATGATGTTTTTATTGAAATTACGAAACCGATAAAAATCCTCTTGACAGTTCCCATCAGAGGCAGAGCTTTTCTAAGAAGCACTATGAATTCGAAAAGACTAAATGCGCTTGCAGTGCTTTCAATGGAGAAAAATTTCCTCAGCTGTCATCCAGAGATCAAGGAGAAAATTATTGATCTTTTCGTGCAAATTAAAACAAGAAGAATGGATTTCATTTTTAAATGAATAGATTAACCTTTAACTGTAACAATTTAGGTTAAAGTAAGTAAAAAATGTTTGATTTTGTTCTTTTAGGATTTTATAGTTTCTGAATAAGTTTTCTTTTTATATAATTTTAAAACAAAGGCTACAAATTTTCTGGAGCAGCACCCCCCCCCTAATTTTAGCTACGAGCTGCCACTGCTCTAGGGTGAAGTAGCCAGGGCTTTATGTGGTCACTGACTTCTCTAGTGCTGCGATTGCGCACAGATGTTGATCTCCACTCCTCCATATTGTCTTCACTCGCCTCCATCTTGTGACGCGGTCAAGAAAGGAGCTATTTCTCCATTCCCCGTTCGTCTTCATAGCGTAGTGCTTAAATACTTAAGCACCGAGCCAACTTAGTAATTGTTTTAACTTCTACCTGTGTTTCTTAGCTAAGCACACACTACGTTGTAGCTGAGCTATTCAAAGCGTCGTTAAATGAGCTGGAAACGGATAAATAAAATTTAATCACCGGGAAAAATGGTTCTCTTTACCTACAGGCCTAACTAAATCAGAAAGGGCAATCTAATAAACAGGCAACACTGTATTCCGAGTGCGTAGAAGACATGGTCACGCCCGACAAAGCAGTTACAGACCTGACATGCATGGTGTGTGTAGGCGGTGGTCAACAAGTGTTACCCGACACACTGCAAGTGTTACAAAAGTCTGACGCGAGGAATGGGAGGGGATATAAACAGGCAATTGTCGGGACCTATGTTCAGCGTTGGCTAATGCAGTCAATTCACTGTTAATTTAAAGACTTAGTTCGCACTATACAGCGTCGAGTGGTACCATTAATGAATGAACAAAAAATGATTATTAAAACATTCGATATAGGAAAAGAAATAACAAAGCGAATTGCTTAGAATGTTCTTAAGGTCGACAACGTACATAAAAGTATATGATTACCGCGCCGTAGCAGCAAAGACGAACTATTAGTCTTCAGCTCTCCTTCCATTAAGTTAGCGGGTTCTACACAGATATGGCTATGTGAACTCTCCAACGCCTTACGCTGACAGCAGGAACGTAAATAGCGTTCCTATTTCTCCGTACCTCCGGTAGCTACGTTCCCGTGCAGCAAGAGAAACAATTTCGCGAAATGTTTCGTGCAGACCCCTTCCCACCCAAAAATACCTACATGAAATCTTACTGATCTGTTAAACCTGTGCGCGGATGCACTTGCAAGGTAGTTCCTGCGCTTAACTAATTAAGCACAACGCCATGAAGATGTATGGGGGAGTACAGATCCACGTTTTCTTGATCTTGGCATTAGTTGGAGGTGAATGGTCAGCTTCACGCACCTGCCGCTTTACCCCCGGGGAAAGAACCCTCAGTACCCATTGGATAGGTGGCTGGGTGGGCCCCAGAGCCGGTCTGGACGATATGGAGAAAGTTCTTACCCTACCGGGACTCGACCCCCGACCCCTCGATCGTCCAGCCCGTAGGCAGTTGCTATACCGACTGCGCTAACCCGGCTCACCGCGCGGATGTGTTTATAACTGACGTAATTCTTGAGAATTCGGAGATCCCTCGGGGAGAAGACTGAGACCTCAGTGGAGGACGTGGCCCTCAGTTTGAGAAACCATGCATTAAGGAATGATTCCCCCGCTAAAGCACGAATTTCACGCTACACTGACCACAATGACGGTCCATAGAACACTTGTTGAACAGCAGTTCGCCGAGACCAGGAAGCTTAATGCTACTATCATACATACCAGAGGCATGCAATTTAAGCTGCTTTGTGCTTCACTGAGCATCCACTCCACAAATACCTATGGAGGAGTGGAAATATATCTCCATGCATTCTTAACCTCGGCTATATAGGCAGAAATTGGTATAACTCATTCGACGTTACGACGGGCTAAGCGTGCTGGACGACTGAGGTTCGATTCCCGGCAGGAGCAACCGATTTTTTTCTACTCAACGGCGTCCAAATGGTCCCTGGAGTCCACGCAGCCTTCCATTCAACGCGTGCCGACAGCTCTTTCCCCGGTGGCAATGCGGCCGTGGCGTGAAGCTGACCACTCGCGTAATTAAGCACAGGGACTTCACCCTTTTACCATTTTTGGTACATTTTTTTTTGTTTTCACGGCGGTGAATAAGATTAGTAACTTCTGGGATGTGATGCCGTTTGGTCTGGTAAATCACTATAAACGTTTGCGAGGACTGTTACTTCTGCGTACAAGACTAACCGGCCTCACATCACCTTAATGGCGATATAACGTTACGTGCACGTTGGGCGTGCAAAACAGCACAAAGGCAACAACCAGTTGCGCTGGGAAGGTGAGAGAGAGCTTGTACGCAGAGTTCACAACTTAAACACGGCATTTCATCAAAATCCAGCCAAATATTAGAGTACTAACTAAGCTCTCACGGCAATACAGTAGCAATATTGTAGTTTGGGAGTGATCAGGCTTGCGGAAGTGTATGCGGCCGACGCTACCTTTTCCTATTAGGCTTACACTCCTACCGTGAAGATGCAGACATTAGGCTAATCCGAAACATTCGCAGCCTACTTCCGCGTAGACGCTACCGCCCCAAAAAAGGATCTAAATATATGACACTCTCAAAGTTGGTTACAGTGGCCCATTTCATTCTTAATATTTCAGGATGAAATGGGTATTTGAATGATTTTTCCTAACCAAGATTAAAATAAAATGTTACGTGTCTACCTAATGCCGAGGTATATTGTTCAAGACTGTAATCTTAATAACCACTCCGATGAAAATCTCAATGACGCCTAACATAAAACAACCGTACAGTAACAAGATCTCATGTTAAACAGAAGACTAGAAAATGAATATTATACTATAAGGGATCCGGTACTTACAGAACAAGTATACTGCATGTCCTATACACGAACTCTCCTTTACAGAAGTCTTCAAGATAGTTTGTGAAGATCAGAGTGTTCTCGCTTCACTGTCCTATCTAAATCGCCTAAGTGGAAGCATTTATTAGTCTCTTTATTAACACATGCAACTGCAAAACACTTAACCAACAAGTCCCGAAGCAACACACTTCACACACGTATTCTTTTTCCTTTACTCATAACGTAAAAGAAACGAACATGTAATAGAACTTAACTCCATGATGATTCTTATTTTATAATTTTTGTTGTTACATATTTCTTGTAGCGTTACATAATATACGAAGCAAAAGATGGGAATGGTTTACGCAATGTGGAACCATACGTGAGCGCCATTTCAAAACTCCCAAACATAACCACAATCAACCTCCACTTTCGTTCGACTGCATATCAGAGACTTGTTCCTGTGTTATGCCCAGCTTCAGCTGTACCGAACTGCGCATGCGTCAGGCGCATCAAACTAGACGATTCATTGGCTAAAACTCACGCGTGTTTACAACGTGTATTATGATTTTTGAAAACATTTACAGTCAAAGTTTTATTATCAAAACAAAAGATTTTATTACAAACCGTAACGGTATTAAAGATACAGTTGCGAACAAGAATCAAACGATGTAAGTTCATTCAATTTTAGCTTAAGGATATTTATACTTCTGTGAACTAGTAAACTTTCACTAATCCACAACTAACAAACAGTCTCTGGTGAGAGAACCCAGTCCACAACCTGCGATACCAAAGACCACCACTGGACACGATCCCTAGCCAGTTCGATCCACTGATCATTCTCATAACCCATATCCTCAAGATACCTCTTCATGCTACCCTCTCACACCGTTCTCATTCTTTTAAATGGATGTTTTCCAAGAGGTTTGCCGCGTTATGTGGGCATTTCTTGTTTCCCCCCACATAGTCTGCTGCATTTCAATACAATTAAAGTGTGTGGGGGACACAGGAGCAGAACTCCACACATTCCCATCGACACCAGATGCATATAAGCAGTTTCACGTTTCCTTTCGCCCGTATTCTCCCGGAAAGAGCAGATATTAGTCAGAAGGGACATGAGCCTCAACACCTTTTTGAATGGCCTGTGGTAAGAAGAATGACAAGGCTATGCAGTAAAAACAGCTCTGACCTCCCGATTACATGCCGTTCCCAAGTTCAAGTGTAACGACTTCATGCTGGTAACAAGGACACCTCCTGCAAAAATCATTCCTGGCTCATCCATATCATGTAAACATGTAAGAGAACTCCGTGGCCTGTAGTTCGCAAGCGAACTATACCGACCGATCGATCGCCGCTTGTCGACGAAGTTAGTGCCAACTTTAGCGGATAGAGGGTGTCGCGTGGTCAGCGCAACGAATCCCCACGGCCGTTAATCTCGGTAAATACGTAAAGGTAAGAAAAATTGTTCCTGTGCCTAATTAAGCACTACGACATGAAGAAATTTCGGGAGACCTTTTTGTAAATGGTCACCTTCTGGACCCGGTCGTTTTAACCGTAGTAACCAGTGCACAGGAGGCTGGGGCGTTCGAAAAGCCTGTCTGAGCACAGAAATCTCAGTTTCTGTCGAATTCCGATTGTCCAGTTAGTCACCAAGCACACAGCTAAACGAGGAGCGAACGTTTTTAGCATTGGTAGTAATCCCACAAGTTTTGTATTTCTATTTCAGTCCCGCACAGCTTCCCGCTTCTGTGTCTCTCTCTCACACCGTGAATCTTCTGCGATGCTTGGCTTTTGTTTATTCTTTGGTGATGATTGTTATGAGAGATTGAAATTCGTTCTCATTGAAATATATTTCACCGAGAACGTCAGAATAATAAAAAAGCATTTTTGTGTGGTAATGATTTCCAATACACCTACTCTGGTACTAGACTACGCTCAAATATGGGCAACAAACGCCCTTGAGTCGACCACACGCAGGGGGACGCCAAGTCAGGGCAGTGAACCGACTTACATTGTCACTGCAAAGACACCATAATCGATACACGAGAACCGTTAAAAAAAAGAGTAAACTTGCCTTCGCGTTTACTTCATTAACCATCACTCCAGGAAGACATAAGGAGCAGTGGCGGTATAGCTCCACCATTCCTGACCTCGACACTAGATAGTGGTAAGCGTCACGATCCGGCCGCTTTACCCGCTGTAACCATTGGATGGGCGGCTGGGTGGGACCCAAAGCAGGTCTGGACGATATGGAGAAAAGGAAAATCCCGCCCTCCCCTGCCGGAAATCGAACCCAGCAGTCCAGCCTTTCGCTATACCAACCGAATTAAATCGTTTTCAGTTTAATTTAACCCCGTTATTTAGAATTTTGAAACAATAAGTACGTAACCTTAATATATGGCCGTAAATGCAGGGTGAAAGCAATTTATTCGTATTGTGGTGAAATTGTTTGTTTACAACACTGCATTCTGCTTGTTTTCCTATAGGTAGTAAGTTAACGCGGTTTATGTTATAACCTATTTACGGCTTATTTAACAACGTTGTCAATAATTGAGACCGCCTCTATGGTCTAATGGTCAGAATTCCTGGCTACACATCCAGAGGTCCCGGCTACCAGATTTTCTGAGAAGTAGTGGGTCTGAAACGGGGTCCACTCAGCCTCATGAGGATAACTGAGGAGCTATTTCAAGAAAATAGCGGTTCCGGTCTAGAAAACCGAAATTAAAGGCCGTGGGGGTTTGTTGTGCTGGCCATGCGACACCCTCTTTCCCCTAAAGTTGGCACTAACTTCACCGACAAGCGGTGGTATAGTTCGCTTGCAAACTAAAGCCACAGAGTTTGTTTTGTTTGTCAGTAGTTGAGACTATGTAGAGTCAAATGATAGATGATCAGTAAACCTGCCTGGAAAGACTGAGGAAATCCCGGTAGAACCTCAATCACCAGCCACAATTCTACCAGAAACCCCCCAAATGACATAGTGCTATTCACTCAAAAGCCATGTTTGTGTCATAATGAAGTGAGTACAGAATGGGTCATGAAATGGCATGTGTTTGTTATTCATGACTATCAGCTTTTTGTGAATCTGATTGGGCTACATTATTTTCCAACATATAGTTTCTCAGGAAATATTGTCATTAAACTCTTACTCACTGTGTTCATTGCGCAGATCCCCCACAGCCTAAAAAGTAAAAAATTAAAGGTATCACTACAACAGGCCGTGGAGGCCCATAGGGTTGTGAGATGTTGAAGTTCCCACATTTTCTAGACAATCAGCTCATAGATGGCGGCAAGGCTGTCAGCCCTGTGTGCCAGCTGCCCTTTACCCCCAAGAATATTCCAAGAATATTCCTGGTACTAATTTCTGTTAGAGGCTGAGTTGATCCGAGGGCCATAGGGTGGCTGGATGGATTAGGTCGATTGAAAAAAATCCAATGACCCCATCAGGATTTGAACCTGCGGCCTTCCGGCTTGTAGCATAGTGCCTCAACAAACTATGCTACTGTGTGCCCCTCCTTTGCCTAGAAATATAAAAACTCATTAGGTCATTAACAGTGTTGGACAATTCCATGATTCCTTCTGTAAGTTTATTGTGCTTTGTGACCGACTTGTGATGACCTCCTTCTTCAGGAAACCCACACATATAAAAATATTCAAGACAGTCCTGGCAGTGTGGGGTGTCACCCCATCCTGCACGAACCACTCTTGTTTAAACCATCTGTACGCAAGTGAGATAAATGTCACATCAAAGAGTCTCAAGATATCATTATGGACCAGTCACTCCTGACTTGAGAAAGTAGACCACTGCAAGCAGCAAAAGTATTTACCTGTACCAAAACTTTACTATCGGATTAATCTAAACACACTTTAACTAGTCTAAAGTTTCATGGATACACTAAATTTAATATCAGTGGTGTATAACAGTTGGTTCCTAACTGAATCATAGGATTTTTTACGGCTGTATATAGTTGATATACTGTCCCATTGTATTCCTATCAGACCCACATGTAAGTTGTGGGGGCCCTGGGTGAATCAAAGTGTGGAGGCCTTTATCAGTAACAAATTTAGATTATGACAATTTTCTTACCGCAATAACTAAAAAAGTAAAAACCCACTTTTCATGATTTTAGGGAAGGAAATGTCTCAGTAAAATCTGTGGATTCTATTTGTCTTGTGGGGGCCTCGGGGTGACTGCTCCAGTCACTCGCCCTTAAGTTCAGCCCTGACTCCTGTCTTTACTCAGTATCTAAGAAATGCAAAATACTTGATCATCAGTTTATCTATTATGTTGAAGTCCACACTCATGGCCTCTGATAACTTCATCACTATGGCAAGTTAACCTTGCGAGAAGAATAAAATACTGAATGTAGCTGATAACAGTGACAATTCTTAAGATATAAAAGTCAGTGACGATGGTACATCAACATTATTATTGACTTTTTTTGGACATTATACATTGTCCTGCTTTTAAATAAAAATCCAAAAAGTCAATAATTTTAATGATAACCCCTGACAATCATAACAGTCAATTTCAAAGATAAATAAAAGGACAAGATTTATTCAACTGCTGTGACAATTCTTCCAAGTGGAATTAGTAAGTTTGTGTATCTCAAAATGTAATATTTTATGTCCAGCCTATAATATTTCTTTTTTATGACACACACAACAGATATTAGCAAGCTTCAACTAGGGTTTATATCTGAAACAAACATTTCAGGATAAACAGAAGGTGGCTGCATACCAACAATCATAATTTTCCTCAATGAAATATATATTGTGGCATGCCAGAAAGCCGGAATGGTTGAGATCAGAGTTGATTTCCTAGGCAATGACCAATGTTCCCGAAACGCTACAATCAAAATGCATACATTACTATAGAGCGGCTAACAACCTAACAGTGGAGTTTCCACCATTACACACTAATTGCTGAAGCAGCGTTGATAGCAGAGGGTGGAATGAACCCCATAACATGGTGTTCTCTATCGAGTCCGAATGCAATTTATGAAACTCCAGCTTCAGCAAGAGATGAATTCAGTTTTTAGTTGACCTTAGAAAAGCAGTCAGTCTTTAGTTTGGCAGTAATTGTGATTGTGAATAATTGTACTTGAAGTGTAAAAGAGATCGTATAATAAAAGTCTTAGCCAAATCCTAGACCCACGTGAATTTGTCATGTTACATAGGCAACACGTGACAATATTATACATAAAGCTTTCACAGGTACAAAGCAATAAAATCATCTCAGGTGACCAGAATGTCATCCTTAATGAGGCAGTGGTCATCCCTGAAGGAACTCCTTCAGTAATATGAAAGTAGGGAACAGACGCAGTTTTACTCAGACTTACTAATGGCAACACTCTTTGAACACTTGACTTCTCTCCAATTTTATGGGGCTGGTCACCTCAAAGCATCGAATTACTGCCTACAGTATTACAATTACCCAACTAGTAAAGTAGAATGAGACCACAGATAAATCTATATGACATCCAGGCTTTAATGCACAGTGTTTAAATGGCTGACCTCTTCCTTGACAATGCCAATTCTCTTTAATAAAAGTTCATGATCAAGTTGCTCTATGCATGCCTTCATGTACTTGTGCACATTTATATTCTTTATGTGAACACAGAGCATATTTATACCAGTTCATCAGTTAAACTGTTAAATACATGCAAGAAAGGAAGGAAAGCGAACAGGAAAATTTATCATCACGTGCATAATAAATTATAGCAGAGTTATGTCATTTATTTAATCAGAATATATTTTTATTTCCATAAAAGTAATTACAAGTAAAGTAAAGCTATCCCTGTAACAGGCCGTGGAGGCCCACAGGGTTGTGAGATGTTGAGACTCCCACATTTTCTAGACAATCGGCTCACAGATGGTGGTAAGATTTTCAGCCTTACGCGTTGACCGCCTGTTACCCCCAGGAATATTCCTGGTACTCATTCCTCTTAGAGGCTGAGTCGACTCCAGGGCCACAGTGCGGCTGGAAGGATTAGGTAAATTGAAAAAATCCAAATTATCGGGATTCGATCCCGTGACTTTCTGGCTTGTAGCATAGTGCCTCAACCAACTACGCTACCACATGCCCCCATTCTCATTTCTGTACATTAAAGAATTCTGCAACATGAAGGAAGGAGGGATGATATCTGCATACAATTATCAGTTTGGGCCAAACACTTTTCACTATCTGATCTCTGGCTCAGAACACTAATGAAAGAAGAGTTGTACTGTGTCCAACCTACATCTCTCATATGAAGGGAAGATTAACGTTGGGATTCTGGGAAATACTGATAGTCCGCTACACAGCATCACACCCCAGCAAACAGTCCTCTCATGGGAACCTCAACACTCACACAGACTAAGTGTGTCTGAGAACAATATGCTTAAGAAACTATTTGGACCTAAGACAGATGAATGACACGGAGCTGGAGAATATTACATAATAAGGAACTATAATTTGTACTCTTTGCCGGATGTTTGGGTGATCAAATCAAGGATGAAATGGGTAGGTCATGTAGCACGCATGGAAAGGTAAGAAATGGATACAGATTTTTGGGACCAGCTGATAGACAACATTAAAATGGATCTTAATAAACAGGATGGGAGGATGTATACTGGATATGGGATTTGTACGGCTCAGGATAGGGGTCAGTGATGGGCTCTAGAGAACTTGGTAATGAACCTTCATGTTCCATTAAAGGTGGCAATTTTCATGACTCCACTGAGAACATGGAATGAAGATCCATGAAAAACACCCTCCATATCTTCTCTGGGCTCTTACACATCCCTCTTCAGCATTTTTCCCCATATACCCCTCCAGCCCTCTGGTCATGATTCTGTTCACAGGAATGTCGGCATGTGTGGTAACTCCAGCTAGTGACAAGTGCTGTGGGCTAGGTGACACCGGCCAGTAAGGACTGTATATAGAAGGGAGAAAGTCTCGAGCACTGTCATCCCCACCACCGACTCATTTGTTCTGCAGCTTCAATACAATCTGTGGTTATTAGCTGCTCAAGATGGATTCTGCTACATGGAATGAGTTAATTAATGAATGAGTACTGCCAAGAGACACACTTGCAGGACTGCAAGAGATTGGGGTTCGTTTTCTAGCAATAGTCAGTCTACTCCAGATTCAATGGCAACTACAAGCTTCTGACTGCACTGTGATCACAGTAAAGTCAACTTTCCTTACAAGAGACTACCCAGTATTTTACATGTGAGAAATCACCTATTAAGCAAAACTTTTGGGCTGTTTTCTCCGGCAATGTTAATATTCTTAACACTCACAAAATGACTGCCCATATATTTTTTCACATGGTACTTAAAATAAAAAAGTTCTGAACACAAAACTGAAAGGGACATGCCCAAACAGAAGCCGAACAACAAAATGGGAACAAATTATGAAACATACCTCAGAAATACATTGAGAAGACAGAAATTCAGGTGGAGGAACTTTGGGGAGACATATATACATGGTGGGAGACACAGAAAATACACGTAAGGAAAAAGAGTACGACACGGATGTGACACAAAACCAAAATTCAGCCCCACTCCTCAAAATCTGCGTCCGTGAAGCTATCTACAGTAATTGGATGCAGAGATGGCGGTAAGTCAAGTCGAACTTGTAAGCTAGGTGGTAATTCCCAAAGTTGTTTACTTTCAGGCTTGAGTTGTGCAGCAAGCTGTCTCTGGGTTCGATGCTGAAGCCAAGAAGCCAAAATGCTAGCTGTATCTCCTTCTGGGATACCATTCTTCAGCGTTTTCATCTCTTGTTCTCTCTCGGCTTCTTCAACTGAAATATTAATAATCAACTTCAGTTTACGAGGGCCTCAATCAAAGACATGGATGTGAGCAGGCAAAGGCAGCAGATGAAGAAGCATAACTTTAAAATACAATCCCTTGTCTTGACTGTGGTAACAGCTAGCACCGTACTGAGTACCAGGTGCAGGCTCACACACACATCAAACGATGCTGCAGACCATAAGACGTCATGAAACTCGATATAAAACTTTTGCCAGTGGTTCTGAACCTTCGTGAGACCGCAGCCCAGTAAATTCTCTTTCCATATGACGAGGGCCCGGTACCAGGCTGTGGTCCGGCAGTTGAGAAACACTGGTCTAGGTCATGTTGGCCCCCAATACAGTGTTGTGTGGGTGTACATAAAGATCAATGTCTAGGCTCTGCTCCTTGACCTGCATTTAGGGGCCATGACAAAGAGTCCACGCACGTATCATTAAGAGGTCTCTAAATAGAGACTAAAGTCAGACTCATGCCCTTAAAACCATGAGAAATAACTACACCATATCTGTGATGATGAGACAGGGCTTAATAAGAATTATGATCAAAAAGGCTGGTCCATGAGCAACTCTCTAGACTTGTATTTGGGAGGGCATAGTTTGAATCACAGCCAGACCATCTATTGTGACTGAGAATTTCTGTCATTTTCCTCAGTCTCTGGATAGTACCTCAATTAGGTCATGATTACTTCCTTCCAGATCTGTTCCAATTCATCAATCAGTTGCTAAATAGCCTAGCCATTGAAAACATAATTATATAAACCATGCAGAAAATATGAGTTATAGGCCCTTAATCTAATTAAGATAATAGCCCTAGAAGGGGAAGAAACGTGACATGACCAGCCTGGACAACACGAATTTATACAGTGAGGACGAGGTGGCAAGGGCTGGGGTAAGTATATATAGTACTAGGTGGCATCAAGCTACTAAGATCATAATCCAACAGGATTTAGTACGTCTTCAGCAAACAAGGCCAGCAAGGAGTGCAAAAGAGACGATCACAGAACGGTATACATTACATATGAAGATGTAAGATGGTTATATGGTGGAGGGGATAATTTGGAAGCCCCATTTTGATCCTCCCCTCACCAGGATGTTGACTGACCCACATCAATGAGAAACACCTCTGGTTACCTATCTATTAGTCCAGGGCAAGAAAACAAGAATTATATACAAAATTTTAGTTCAAAACTTTTGTGGTAAGAAACCATTTATCAGACTTAAAAATGGATCTCAAAAATATAAAATACAGAGATGTGAAATGGCATGAAGTGGAAGATTATGATCTTCTGGGTTGTAATGCCATGTTGTGGGAAAAATCATACAGTGTTTTAACACTTTGCGGACTGGTGGCATAATTTTATGCCCAGCGCTTTTAAACGTGGCGGACTGGTGGCATATTTTTATGACTTAAGACACGTTAGATTGTAACACATTATACCTTTCTCTGGCGCCACCCAAATAAAATGACTACTGCATAATATTATTCCGGAATGTTTGCTTAGTACGCAGTAACTTGATCTTGCTGTTTGGGTACCCCTTCCAAAGGAAAATTATCTTTGACCCTTCAAGCTCTTATGTACCAGACAGGAAGTTAGTTGCACAATGAGTCAAGGACAGAAGCGGTTGAAAACCAAGCAATATCTGACTTGTTCTCTGACGTGNATAAAATGACTACTGCATAATATTATTCCGGAATGTTTGCTTAGTACGCAGTAACTTGATCTTGCTGTTTGGGTACCCCTTCCAAAGGAAAATTATCTTTGACCCTTCAAGCTCTTATGTACCAGACAGGAAGTTAGTTGCACAATGAGTCAAGGACAGAAGCGGTTGAAAACCAAGCAATATCTGACTTGTTCTCTGACGTGCTGACGTGAGCTATTTGACATTCCTTCTGAGACGTGTAGTGATAGTGATTTGACAGTGGCAGTGGCAGTGGCAGAGGACAACAAACAATTGTGGCTACAGACAATATAAGTGAAAGTAGCTCTGACAAAAGTGCAGGTAGAAGGGGAATGTTTCCAGAAATATCACACTCCCAAGCACTTCTAGAAGCATTGGTAAGTGTTCTCCAAAAATTGTAGTTCATAAAATTAATTAGGATATTTTATATTAATTTTTAAAGTGAACAGTGCACAAGTTAGGGTAGTGGGTTAAAAAGTACCGGTCCCCAGGGTGATTTAAATATTTAAATTGCTGGTCCACAAAGTGTTAAGATAATGTAATACATCAAATTTATGGTGATGCTATCTGCAGGTAACATACTACACAGACTACATTAAGGCTACTTCACTCTCCCTTCTGATTCATGTTGATGGCTGTGGCATGTCCTGTCTATTCAGGTCGCATTACCTACTTCTTCTAACAGTTGTGGAACATCACCAAAAGAAAACTGAAATAGTTTAGCTATAGACCAGGGAGTTGTAAAGGTTTAGAGATGTTTTACTACAGTATTCTGATATCTGTATTTATAAGTCTGAATTAAGGTTATACAGCTATTTAGAAGCGTTTAAATAGAATGGCAAAGGGTTAAATGTAATTTACTTTAGGTTTGCAAATACAGAAACTATTAAACATTAGTAAGGCAGGTGGTTTAGAATAAGTACACATTCATGTCTTGGCTAAGTTACATGTGGCTCACAAGATCAGTGAGTTCTATGCCAATGTGGGGCCACTGCACAGTGATCTCCCACCACCCACTGCAAACAATACATCAAGATCTACGGTTATACAAGGAGTACGTCTTTTTCTAAGCAAAATAAAAGGATTCCTTTATTTACTTACTTTGCTGCTTAAGATCCTGAAGTTGTTGACGAGAAAAATGGGTAAATCTGCAGTTGGAGCCAAAAACGCATTCTCCGGTATGAAGAAATCTTTTGCAGGGTTCTTTTGCAGATTCTTCGGCCAGTAACGTTTGAGGGTCTGGAAGAACAAACACACGAAGCTGTGCACATCTTATGAGATCCGTTAAGCATATCAAATTGGCAGTTTTAACAGATGACATTTCGATACATGTGTTGACAATCTCGAAATTAAATAATAAATAACGAATGCGCGTGTTGTCTTACGCATAACTTACCCCTAAAGGAATCGTAATGTTCTTTTCTTAGTCTCATGTGCATTGATCCATTTAAATGTTTCTTCCTAGCCTCTAAATCATCAATGAATGATCGATCGCAATAATCGCAATAATATCTCTTTCCCATAACCACTATTTTATAAACTCAACATCCACCATAAATACTTATATGCTATAACCTCTAAAAATTTCCCTAAAACAAAACAATTACGTTAACAGTCTGTGATCGCGACATGCCTCACACTTCATTTACCGACGCAGAGCAAACACTACGGAAAATATACCTCATGATTCCAAAATTGCCTTCGACATTTCGAATGGAAAATGAAACACACAAATTAAATATTGCAGCAGATACTATTCCATGGAAATATTTAGAAGGACCTCTAAAGAGAATAAATCCATTATAAAAATCTATAATCATGAAATGTTAAGGGAAATAATTCAATTTAAAATTTCTATGCTGGTATTGATTCAATCTGGATGATTTCAGCTATTCCCACCAGATGGCGAAACTGGGAGTGGGGGGGTTTCGTGACGTCAGTGCGGCCATGTTTGCAAGTATAATAATAGTTATAATGCTTATAATAATATAGATTTGTGAGGATTTGATACAAATCGTGCTTAAGATGTAATCAAAGGACGTGAGCAATGAATGCGTATTGTTGTCCGTTTTGGTTAATGTAATTTAGTCTGTTTGATTAGGCACATAAATTACATTAATAAAAACAACTTGATCCAGCACAATAAAAAGATCGAAGAAGCTCTCGTATATCGTTGCTGTTGAAAAAGCGCAGTAAGCAGCCCAAGAAAGGAAGGTCAAGAAACTCTTCCAATACAAAATTCACATTGTTTCCTGTAGTACATGATAGACAGAAGTACGAAATTTGTCTGTCGATTAAGATCTAGGTGAGGCCATAACACTGCTGCACATAAATTTCTCAACACAAGGACTAACTTATGTAACTTAGAGGGTTTATGTTCAGCTTCTACTGTAATCTGTTCAGCCAGTCTCCATCTTATCTAATAGCTGTAATGTATATTTCCACATAATGTATTGTAAGTCTATTCTTCATGGTGATGACCTGTGTAACAAATCAATTACCTTTCATCCTCCATTTGTCCAATATGGCTATACTGTCTCGGTGCTCTGTTGTCTAGGTACTGCCATAACATCCATTTCTTCACATAACACTTCATTCCTTCACTCTGTTTTTCCCTTGGTGATCGAAGTCGTCAGATTTACCAAACCATATATTACTCAAATCTTCAGTTATTGATTGTAATTCATATATATTACCCAACTAGAAACTAAGAAACTATTTAGGTAACTAACAAACCAACTAACGAATACAAATTTACCTAGCAATTAATAACTATGTGACTAATGAACCACTTGACCGAAACCTGATGGACTCTCTCAGAACTGAGGTTTTCATAACAATGACAATCTACAGCATGGCCTTCCAGTTGGATTGTAATGTCATGCAGTTTTAAGTGAGCCTGACATTTCAGAGGAACATACTGCCTCCATCTTCAGGGTTGAGGAGTAAGCCTAGCTTTGCCACCTACTTCTGTTGATTTCATGCTTGGCTTACTTTTCAGCCCAGAGATGAAGACAGTATATTTCTTTGAAATGTTGGCCTCTCTCTGAACTACAAGGTGTTGTGACCCAGAAGACTTTGTTCTTCTGATATACCCTATGCACATATCCGTCCACCTGCTCAAACCAACTAACCAACTAACCACTTAGTTTTCTAGCTACTTAGCTACATAAATATCTATCTAATGGATGCTCCTACAGAGAAGTTTATGGGTGGTTTGGAAAAAGTAATTATAAATCTAGGATTTTCTTCTTTTTTGTATTTACCTATTAACCATGTAACTGGAACATGTTTTCTAAATATAAGTAACAATTTTGTCCAGAGCATATAATTTACATAATGTCAGCAAAACTGATTTTTCTTTATTTAACAAATACAATAAAATGTTTTATACATTGGTGAACACAAAACAGATAATTACTGAAACTTTTCCTTATCTATAAAATAACTAAACAGACATGAATTCCCACCCAAAAGCATTTTATACATAAACAATGCCATTGTCATATTATCTATAATCAGGAAGAAACTGAAACCCCGTTCACATATAGCTTCAAGTACAGTAATTCGAACATAGCCTGCTTTCAATTCACACAGTATATATGATCACAAAGGCCATTTTTGCTATACACTGTACAGCTGATATGAGAATAATGCATTCAACACAAACACATCACGACAAATGTATCACAAATTTAGCTCCTTCTTCAGGTCAACAACTGATGTCAATACAACTGCAAGAACTGTCACATTTCAGACACACTCTACCATATTGACCATTCCACTTAATTACACATTCTCACAGGAATAGAAAATTCTGTTGCTAAATGACAGAACCTTCACAATTGAAAATTCAAAATACATTTCTACTTGTTAAGTCAACAAATAATACCTGCGTGAACGGGGCCTTACATTAAGCAGTAATGTGTTGGCATATGTACGGTTAGAACGTTAAGTGACGGTGTGCTGTATATAATGAGTGAACATGAATGCAGAATATTGCAATGGCTGATATACACTACACAGTTCTAAGAGCTATAGATTAATTATGATACTATAAGAATATTGACTAGAATATCGTTAGTTTGCTTCATTTTTTGGTGGGAATGGAGTTTCTATAACACTTTGAATAAAACTGAAACAGGTTTGAGTAAAACCGCTTCATTGTTTCAGTATAAATTGTTGTTTAACACTAATAGCTTCTTCTCACAGTCATACTGAAATATATGAATAATATTACCAAGGATTCATGTAATATTTACCCCAAGAAGCAAAATATATAAGTGAATTATTATTATTCACATATAGCGTAAGTTGTGGGATACTGCAAATTTTGAGAGAATAAAATGAGTGTTAAATTTTCTTATCATTTTACCGTTTTGAAATGTAATGAAAGGTTAGATGTTCTTCTTTAACATTCAAACATTTATTAAGAGTCACAAATCTGCAGGTAGCATTCAGTATATATTTTCATAATTTGATATTCTGTCAAATAAATATGCTTAAATGTTGCTAGTTATGTAGCTTCATCTGAAATATAAGTAGTCAATTTAAAACAGAACTACATAAAATCATGTGAGTAATGTCATTACAATGTCAGAAAAATGATCATCCTCTTAAATGTAATACTATGCTCACCATAAGAAAACAATACCTTGAACACAAATCACATATTTCTAACTGCGTTGGAAGGTCTACAACAGACACCTTACTTAACAGTTACAGTGAAATTAAACAGACAGTTAAAATTACAATTCTTTGGGATGTAATGTCATGCAGTTTTTGTAGACAGGTACCAACATTTTGGAGGAACTTATATACAAAACTACAGGGCACCACATTACAGACAAAGGATATCTTTAATTTTGAACATCATGAAAAACTCGAATCTCATAAATCACTTAAAATTTATTAGGATAGAATACTAGTGTAACAAAAATTAATAAAGCTAGCCTTCCAGGAATATGTGGCTGAAAAATAAAATAATTACTTCATGTGACTGACAGGACTACATAAAGTAAGGTTGATCTTTAAAGGAATGCATCACACTTTTCATGTGGATTCTGATATTCTGAAAACAAAATAGATTTTTTTTTAATGAAGGAGTGCTATTAACAAACGACTGGAATTTCACTTTCTTACACTTTCAGCACTTTTATAATTATAATTCGCTATTTAATATATATATTATATTATATTCATATTAGTCTTTTCCAATCTTTCTTCAAGTATAGAATTACAGATGTCATTATTTGCTTTAGTAATGCAATGAATAGAGACGTTCTTTAAATCCACCTCCTTAAGTGTCATTGTGAGAATTTCCTGTTCAAAGTAAAATCTGTTAATGTGTAACTCTTTTACTTAAGTAAAGATGAAGAAGTGGTACTACAGACCACTATGAACTTTGGTCTTCTAGTGGAGGTATGGCTCTAATCCCACTCAACTTTCAGCACTCAGTGGACATCAATGGCTAGTATCATGCCCAGAATGCTATACCCCTGGGGAAACAGCTCCCAGTAGGAGGCTGAGTGAACTGTGGAGCTGGATTGAAATCCCAATTCTCTCGTTGTCCACCCCATCATGTGATATGTTGAATAATACCCCACTGTGCTGGAAATTAATTTATAAGCCAGCTGTTGTTTAGATACAGGCCAGCAAGAACAACTACACATATTTTCAGATATGAAAATTTCATAAGCACCATTAATATTATATCTGCAGAGAAATTGTGTAAATTCAAAATGGAGAATCAGCAAGGGAACAGACAGATTCAGTGAAACCAGTTAAAATTAGTGAGCCAATATTACTTAATGTCACAATAATCTTGGAGTATTCAGCACTCAATTATAATTCTGTCAGCCCTAAAAATGTGTAATTGAAAGTGTTCAAAGCTGCTCTATCGATATAAACTGAGGCACAGAAGATACTATTGGCTCAACACAGTGATAGAAGAGTTGTAATCTTTACAATCAAATCAGGCCAAAGTAAAAAGTATTGCCCAAGTGAAGAAAAAAAATTCGACAGTAAGACTGTATTAACAATTTTCCTTAACAGATTGGGCTTACAACTTTTCTAGATTCATCCATAAAAATTCTCCTATGACTACTTTTTGGATGTTTCAAATGGCGGTAAAGGAGGTAGAGTTTATAGAATGTCTTGACATATCTGCGGTATTACGGACGGAGTCCAAACCCGATGTTTGAACCATGATGTGTCTTGTAATACCAAATGTTTTTACTCTATGCTAGAGTTGCATTACAGTTAAAGGATGCGGCATCAGACAGCCAAACTGGACCAATGAAATAGTTCTTCTGTGTGAATCTGTCTATATTTGTTTAGTATCTCTCTTTGTATATTCACAACTTATGATTAATAAAAACAATTTAAATCATTTATATTTTTATTGTGTACCACTTTCTTATAAATTTATGATTACCTTATATCTCTCTTCGTTCAAAGTGACTAGTAATGATAATAATAATGACAATGATAATAATTATGGTTATATGAAAGTATAACATTTAATTACTGAAATATATGGTTGTTTCTTGCATCAGAATTGGATAATCATCACATTCTCTTGTATAATTTATGTAGAACCATTCAGTGTTGCTGGCATATGTATGGAATTCTGAACTTTTAGGCATTTAATATGGGTTATGTTCTTTGTGGATTGGTTATGAAGAAAGTCCTACTGTGTAGGATTCCTAGATAGAGCTGTTGATAGTTTCTAATTTAGCGTAGAATTTAGATCAAATCTTGTATGAAATACTATACATAATTATAATTTCTTCAATATATGTATTAGCCAGAACAAGCAAAAACAGACTGCATACTATGCACATGATGAGGAACTCAGTTTCAAGAAGTGTTCTTCTAATTTGGAAAATTAGCTATAACAAATTTGATTCCATATGTTAAAAATATGCCACATGTTCAAGAAGTGATGTAAAGCCTGTGTACATATACCCTTAATGCCTGCTGTCGCATAAATCCATGAACAATCTCATATTTGACGTATATTTTCATCATACATGAGGTCTCTACTCAATGAAATAAATTATATGATTTAAGTAGCATTTTAGATCACTGGTCTAATTTGGCTTTGTTGCCAATGCATACGTAAATAACAAGAACATATTAATCTTCAACAACGGCTTGAACTAGAATAATAGTAATTGTTAAACCAGATTCATAAAACATTGTCTGTGAACCATTCATTTTCTGGCACTGATTTGTCTAATATATATATCTTTTTCTATAAATTTTATATAGTTTATAAAGAGGAAAATAACTGTAACAACTTGTATATTTTGACATCAGCATTGAAAGGCAATGCTTCTGGATAACATGACTTCAGCAGGTTCAGGCATCGCGTCGGTGCTACGACGTGACGTAACGTGACGTGAATGTGACATGGCCACCGCTCATTGTCCTGTCGCCATCTCTTCTCCGTTTTCGCCATCTTTAGGTATAACTTCTTTGCGCACCTTATGCCCGCGGAAAGACGCTTGGATCTTGGTGGCAGCCTTATTTAGATCAGGATCATTGAGGTCTATGTCAGCTAATTCATCGTCAACCTGAAAGCAAACAAAATATCACAGTCTATATCTTGTATTTATTGCTGATAGACAAATATGGCGCCTGGGTTCAGGGTGCTGACATCATACGAACAAGATTTTAGTACCGTGTTTCATTTTGTTTCTTACAAGCAGAAGTACCCGTTCTCCGTCCGGGATATCGTTTCTCTCCCTGTCGATATCACATTGCATAGTGTCTAAAACTTTAACTGATTAACACTGAAATTAAGGAACTGGAGTTTACTTAAGCAACTAAATAAAAAAAAATTGTGAACGAGGATTCGAAAGGCACACAATAATTCATAATACTTTAGAGTGTCGGCTATTAGGTCCGTAACAGGAAATAGAACAAATAATAGCGTGAATAGAAAAATTCCGTTACACAAACAGAGAGACTTAAAGCAGTAATAGCAACAGTTCCTCTGTTTTCTCTCACTGATGTATATAGCGTATTATACTCTCTCGTAACCAGTATAACACCCAGAAGGAATAGGCCGCTTTGGAGATCTGGATATAGATAGGAATATAATATTAAAATGGACCTTAATGAAATATGGTGTTGGAATGTGGATTGAATTAATGTGGCTCAGGATAGGGTTCAATGGCGGTCTGCTATACACGCCGTAAAGAACTTTCGGTTTCCATAAAATTCGGGAAATTTCTTGAGCCGATTAGCCACTATTAGCTTCTCAAGATGATTATGTTCTCCACAGAGTTACTTAATTGATTACTCCTTTGGAGCACAGTGGTCACTATATGTATCACCTGCTGTGACAGTAAGAACATCTGCAGGCAGTGTTTATGTGGTTCGTACAATTCTCAGAACAAACAGTAATTTCTGTAACAGCATTAAACAGTCCATGTTTGTAATGTAGAAGAAATACGTTTTATGCAAGGTTGGAACTGAAATTTAAGTACTAATCAGATGTAAAAAAAAGTTGTAAAGCTATCCCCGTAACAGGCCGTGAGGGCCCATAGGGTTGTGAGACGTTGAGGGTCCCACATTATCTAGACAATCGGCTCAAAGATGGTGGTGAGGTTGTCAGCCTTACGCGCCGGCCGCGCTTTACTCCCCAGGAAGATTATTTAATTTATTCCTGGTACTCATTTCTGTTAGAGGCTGAGTGGGCCCCAGGGCCATACTGCGGCTGGAAGAATTAGGTTAATTGAAAAAAATTCAATGACCTCATCGGGACCTGAATTCGCGACCTTTCGGCTTCTAGCGTAGCCCCTCAACCAACTACGCTACCGAGATGTAATAAGATAAAAGGTAAAGCTGTCCCTGTAACAGGACGTGAAGCCTCGTAGGGTTGTGAGATGTCGAGGTTCCCACATTTTCTCTAGATAATAGACTCACAGATGACGGTAAGTTTGAAAACCTTGCGCACCGCACCGGCCGTCCTTCACGCCCCAGGAAAATTCCTGGTACTCATTTCTGTTATAGGCTGAGTCGACACCAGGGCCATAGTGCGGCTGGAAGGAGTAGGTCAACTGAAAAATCCACCTCACCGGAACACTAACCCACGACCTTGAGGCTTGTAGCACAGTGGCTCAATCAACTACGCTACCGCGTACCCATAAGCTACTGTATGTACAAAACACACCTCATAGAGACAATTTAGTCTTGATATTAGATTAATTTAGTCAGCCAAAATCAATTATTTAATTTCTTCTTTTATTATTATATTTTTTTAATTCGCTTAGTGGAGTTTGGAGTCCAGCTGCGTACACTCGGCACGGCGACCACTGATTGGCCTATTGTAGCCTGCCCTGGGTGATTATGATGATGGAGAACTTGGTGGAATTAAGATTGGCAGGAGAAACCGAAGGACTCGGAGAAAACCCGCCCCAGCGTCAATTTGTCCACCACAAATCCCACTTGACCAGACTCGGGATCGAACGCGAGCCGCCGCGGTGGGAAGCCAGCCACTAACCGCCTGACCTATGGCGCGGCTTCTTTTATTATTAAATAAGTATAGATTTAGATTTCATATTTTTATTATAAGCAGTTCAAATTTTCTTGTTGATGTATGCTTCTACAACCTGAAATTACGAGGAATGCATAAGCAAAGAAACAACGAAACAACGGAGCAAGGATTGCATCACAGGACGGAAAATGTGGCTATAGAGAAGATGAATGAACGAGGGACGACAGTTTCCAACGTCACGGTGTCAGGAAAAAGCGAATATCATGGGTTGCGTACGAACACTGTTACATTGTACCGTGCTTGCTTTCCTACACATTAACATTCGAATTTTAAATTATCAACTCAAAATTCATATCACATATATGTATAAATTATAAACACATTTCAATACGTACACTAATTTGAATCTTTTATTCATCAAGTAATAAAACATTCTAAAGCAAAGCTATATTATAAATACAAATACGATATATGATTAAAGGAACCATGCACAAAGTTACTTCTAGTCGGTAGTGCATGCAGCTGATGCCGTCTTATAATCTTGTACAGGATGGCAATAAATTTCCTAACCGAAACACAAGCAACTGCCTCTCTATAGGACACAGTTGTTGACGGAACGTGCGAGAGTAGCGGAGAAGTGTTCTAAAGATAAGCGCACAACCCTCGCTAATTCGGAGTATAGTCACTGCTTGGCAAATACGGACACGGTTTCTAGCGAAGTAAGTTGGTTTTACGAACTGACGACCAGAATTCATAATGGTCATTTACATTAACAGCAACAAGAACTAAGTTCCTGCCTACAAGGTACGCAAAAGAAAAACGTTACAGAAGTTGTTCCTGTGCTTTTTTCTTTTCTTATTGCTAGTGGGGTAGGACTAAGCCCCTTGTACTGCGGCCACTTCTGGCCTATTGTACCAGCCCCAGATGATAGGTGGGGGTGATTGTGGAGCAATTGGTGGAATGAAGATTGGCAGGGGAAACCGAAGTACTCGGAGAAAACCTGCCCCAGAGCCACTTTGTCCACCACAAATCCCACTTGACCAGACCCGGAGTCGAACCAAGGCCGCCGTGGTGGGAAGTGTACCTGTGTTTACTCAGGAACCACTCCATGAGGATGTATGGCGACTGAGACACATATAGGGGCTAGACGAAATGGAGGCAAGTGGTGAGTTCACGTCCTGTCGGCATGGCCCAGATATCCACTGGATAGAACTCTCGTTGGATCCTTGATCCCGTTACTTAGTGACGTGATTAAATAACATATGAAGCAGCAATAAAGGAGGGAAATTCTGAAACAGAATATTGCTAACCTGAATAATTTACTGACTTACTTACTTTTTTTACTCATGGAGCTAAGGCCTTCTGGAGGAGCCGTCAATTCTGCAGCTACTCAAGCATTTCCCATTATGGAATCAGAAGGTTCATTACCGTGTTCTCAAGAGCCCTCCACTGGTCCCTATCCTGAGCCAGATTAATACAATCCATCCCATCCTATCTTTCTAAGATCCATTTTAATATTGTTCACTCACCTACGCCTTGGTCTTCCCAGTGGTCTCTTTCCTTCAGGCTTTCCCACCAATATCCTATATGCATTCCTCGTCTCCTCCATTCGTGCTACATGCCCTGCCCACCTCATCCTCCTTGACTTGATCATTCTAATTATACTTGGCGAAGAGTACAAGTTATGAAGCTCCTCATTATGCAGTTTTCTCCAACCTCCTGTCACTTCATCTCTCTTCGGTCCAGATATTCTCCTCAACACCCTGTTCTCAAACCCCCTCAGTCTATGTTCCTCCCTTAATGTCAGAGACCAAGTTTCACACCCATACAGAACCACAGGCAAAATTATAATCTTATATATTCTAATTTTTATGTTTTCCGACAGCAGACGAGAAGACAAAAGCTTCTGGAATGACACAGATATACATGAAGAGGTAACACAGATGTGGAGCACATGATTGAAACATTCCTGTCTGTGAGTGGAATTATCACTTACAGACCTCAGATAGAAGTCACTGCTACAACACGTTAGATACAGAGTGGCAGTAAAGTCTGTCACATAAAAATCCCATCTTCTGAATTAAAATCTGGTTTATGAGCTCTCCGGCTCTGGGACCCACCCAGCATCCAACCCAATGTGAATTTGGGGCTATTTCCTTGGGTGTAGAGAGGCCGAGGCTTGATGCTGACCACTGAACTCCATCTAGTTCCGAGTTCAAGAAAGGTCAAGCTGTACCTCCACTCCCCCATATGTCTTCAAGGTATAGTGCATAATTAATTAAACACAGGAACAAGTTTACCGTTATATTTGTATGTGCTTTCTTTCACACAGAAGTCAGAATTTAGACACAATGCGAAACTGATTATTCATCTGTATCTAGTGCCGAGGTTAAAAATGCGTGGAGCTTCATCTTATCCTCGCCTACGTCTCCATGGTGCTCTTTTGATCACAGGGTCAATAAACTGAATGAAATGCATGTATTTTTATTGTCAATGGATTATTTTAAGGCTTTCTGTTACTATGTATAGTCATATTAGAATACGGAAAGTGGATAATTCCTCAAAGCAAGATTAATTACATACATTGTATTCATATCTGGAAGAGGAAGCTGCAGAAATTGGCACCATGCATATACCATGTACCTTCTCTATGCATTTTGAAATGCACAAAACTAAATATTCATACAATATAAAATAAAATTAACCCACATAACAATATATATGATAAATAATTCAACATTCCAGATGTACATATAAATCACTGGCTAAGGGGTCTACTGATAAAGAGTAAAGATACAAAATTTCTTGATGAACCACATTTCGTGGTACAACTAATTTGCCACGAAATTGAGTATATTTCCCACAGTTAACTTTAATTGTTCTACAATTATGATCCAATTTTTGAGCAGTCTGTAGAGAACTGTTGAAATTAAGCAAAATGTAATCGAACCATTGTAGAGATATTTATGGAGAAACGTTGAAACCAGCCACTTTCTGACCACCTATAAAGAACTGTTAAAAATAATTCTAAAACGATACGTAACTTTATGACTATTTTACAAGGCTGTAACA